CCTCAGCCAGGGTCAACCCACCACAGGGCTATACCTTTTTCCTACTGTATTTCGGACCAGAACAGGATCGCTTACAGCTTCCTTGGCTGTTCGCCTGATTCTGCGAATGTGCTTTTCCACAGGCTGCAGCAAGTCTGACACCGATATCCTTCAAGGAATAACAAGCTATGCATCTCTACACTGTTCTCAGTGGACGATTGCCCTGGGAATTATCTATAGTTGGGGTTTGGTTTTTTTCTTTTGCCCTCAGTAAAAGTGGCAATATGCATGCTGAGTCATGTAGCAAGGCTGTACTCAATAATTAATATATCCAATCTCTGTGTGAGCAGACTTTATTCCACTTTACTTGTGGTTTATTAGATTTTGATTTTTAAATCTTATACATATCCTAATGGAAAATGACATGTGCCATCACTCAACATCTGGTAAGATTCAGACAGTGACAATTCAACGTGATATCTTCTGTACCTGGATGTACCTTTCAGAATATGTTTCCAACCATTTGCTGGAATTCTTTATTACTCTTGCAAAATACATCATTTTTCTGCAACGATTCTCTGCATATTGTTTCAGGACTATATTTTTGCCAATTATTTTCTATTACTGGACCAAAAAGGTTTATGTATCATATGTTTCTCCCTCAGATCAAAGTTGAGAATGACCACGTTAATCTCATCTTCTTTACAGACCCTGTAATGACTTCTGGCCAGAATGCCTTTCTTCAACACACACATATAGCATTAATAATGCTGGATATCAAGAAGACAATTTTAAACCCTCGTTGGTTAATATTCATTTTAACAAGCAAATCCATTTTCTTTTATCCACTTAATCTTTCCTATTTTTCACATTCCAGATAGACTTTGCATTCATGGTATCAAGTCTGTATGCATTTTGAAGTGTTTTCTTTTTCATATGCCCATATTACCTTCTGTTTTACATAGCACTTGTTATGCATGCATGATCACAGACTATTTCTAGCATTAATTAAGATATGAAATTAAAGTGGGAAGTACATTATTGGTCACGTAATACAAACAATACAAATTTGCTTTAAAAATGAAATTACTAAAGTGTTAGCACACCTCTTTGTACTGTCAGAAATAATAATGTTTACAATCTACCTGCCACAGTACAGCTAGAATTCACAAGTGGATTTGGAATATTATTTCTACTTCAGAAAGATACATATAAAACCCTGAGAAGTTCATTTAGTTTATAAACCTATCTGGAAGAAAACACAGGTTTGTCTCTTTTGCTGTCTGCTCCACCATACAGCTCCTGCCCTTAGTGGCCCTTGATCCCACTTACAGGGCTTCCACTGTTCGTGTGAGAACAGCTTTCCTTGAAATCTGATTAGGAATTTTATCAGAAAAAAAATAAAATATATTTTCTTAGAAATTAACGTTTCACAGGAACATGTTTTTGATGAACTTCTGACCAACATAAACATATTTCAAAAAGCAATTTGCCAGATTTCCTGCCCAGAAACCCAGACGCCCAAGTTTTGCTATTGTAAGGAAGTGAGCTATAGGGATCGTCTCAAATCTAACGGTACCCAGAATCAAGAGATCTCAGGCATCTGATCATGCGATTGATCTAGAGCTGAGAGTTTTGCATCTTCTAGAAGTCCAGGCCATAAGAGCAGCCTGTCAAAGCTGCCAGCGTCATCAACAATTTACCCAGTCATCTCTTCCTTGTCTCTACAATCAAAAATAGAAACCTCCACGTTCACTCAGCAGACTGACACACTCCCGCTGCTGCATTAAAAACACCTTTACCAAATGCCCTCAGAAAAGGAGGCAAATCATTCTACGTGTTTAGAATATTAATTTTTCACACAAACATGTTTAGTAAATGTTTTACAATGGTTTACACGTGCCTATTTTAGCTGTCACCATTCTGACCCCATTGCTCTGCTGCTTCCCCCCCCCCTTTGCTGTAAAATCAACTCACAGAACGCCTCTGTAACGGTAGGTGTTAATACAATTTGCGCAATGTAAAATAATAAGTAATAACAATGAAATGCATGTTCCCTGGGACTCTGTCATAACTCCAGGTAAAAATAATGCCATAGACTGGGAATAGACTCGTTAATAAAATTGCACTCAGAAGAGTGACTTGTTTACTTATGCACAATGGAAAACAATACATTACAAACCCCTGCATTAAAAAGAAATTATGATCACAACTTCACAACAAACAGCAAGGGATATCATCATGTACCTGCCTTGCACAAAACAAACCATCAGACAAAAGGCTTTGAGGATGATTTGTCGAGGCCATATACTCTCTTAGGTCCCTCTTACTGCACGAGGAGTTCAACGTGCTCCAAACCAAGCAGAAAAAGTTGACCTCCTTTACAGATCCAATCCTTTACTAGCAAGGCTCTTTTTATTAGGGCAGACTTTTGTGGATACTGCCTGCAACCTCAGTACGACAGCATATTATCCAGAATTTGGATACTCACTTGTTACGCTGAGATGAATAAACGGACTTGTCTTGTTCTCCCCATTCTTTTCATTGACTGCCTGGACATAGTAGCCTCCTGCATCTGTCACTGATGTTGCAAGAATGACCAGCTGGTTCTCCAGTGTGATGGCTCTATTGAGGCAAGAGAAAGAGCGTGTTGAAACCAGAAGAATGGTATCGACTAGACAAAAATTGTACAACACTTCAGACTTGACAGACTGATACGATATTCATTGGTCATCTAAATCAAGATGTTCGGAAATCAAAACCAGCCTGATTTCAAACACATTCACATGTAATACTTAAGATCTTTGATGCCTCTAAGCCTTCTCTCTCTTTAGATTGTGTACAGTGACATGCAGAAAGCTACAACATATGAAGTTAGAACAGTTTAAATGGCAATAAGAAGTTATACAAGAAACGGCAAATGACAACAGAGACCAATAGCCTGCAAACTGCATCGTCAGGGGTTGACGACAGTCCTGGCAAAAGTCGGTATGCTGCAAAGCCAGTTTTATTGAAATCCTTCTCAACAAGTGAAACCATTTCTATTAAAGACTGACAGTCAGGGAATAACACCACCTAGTCTAGTGGGGAAAAAAAAGTAAAAAGTCAAAGGCAGCAGCACCTCAGAATGTAAACTTTCTGTATTTATGGCATCACTAATTATCGCAACATCACAGACAAGAACATCAGCAAGCTAGAGCTTAACTGATATACACAGATGATCTGTGTGTAGACAGGGAAGGAAGAGTTTTCATTTAATCTAAAGCAGGTAGGAAAGCACAACCCTGTAGTTAGCACTGGTGTAGGCCTGAAAGAGTCAATAAATGTCATTGTATGACACAAGTCTATTCTTGCTTATGGCTGCTACGTAACAACGTCTCCCCTTGTAGGCAGCATTACTCATTTGCACTGCAATAGGGTTGGTTACTTCACATTTTACATGTATTAGGTCTTTTCTTGACTATACAAAATAAAGGTTTAATATAGAGACAACATGTAAAGATTTAAGGGCTTAACTGAACAGGACACAGGAAGCTCAAAAACCAGATAAGAATAGAACACCACGTAAAGTTCCAGAGAAAGCCTGCGGAGCAAAGAGCTGACACTAATGCAGACTGGGACAGGCACAAACTTGGGAATCTGAATGCAAGACTTGGAGCAAGAAACTCCTACCTTCACTTATATTACTTGATGAGAAGCCCCACTGAGTTCAGCTGTGCTATTAGTCATATCCTTGAGCATGAGGTTGAAACAACATATAAAATTATTATACTGGATGAAACAAGTTCATACATCAATAGGCCTACAAAAAGAGTCAGTGTACGAATACTTCGACTTAGCGCTAATCAATCAATAATGAACACTCCAGCATTTATTCTTCCTCTTTTGGCATGATGTGGTTAACGTTAATGATTCACAACTATTTTGCTTTTGAAAAAGCATTTAAAACAATAGGGAAAATCATACATTCCTACTGTAGCATGCCATTTTTTATACGTAGGAAGGGACATAGAAAATGGCAGTGAGAACACAGCAGTGTTCAAAGGCTGCGTGTGTTTCATTCAGACCACTTCCATTTTCAAATGTGGATACAAAGAACACTGAACTTCTATAAAGCTATCAGTAGATAGCAATAAATAAAAAAGGCTCCTGAAAAATATATAAGGCTATATTTTCAGCTCTGATTGCACATCAGCTAAAGATCCCATTTACATTATCTTTATTGACAGATTTTATTATAAAAAGCATTAAAAACCCCAAACCAGAGTATGACTTTTTTCTTTATTCAATGAACCTGTATTAGCTTAATTGACTTAGAAAATTAATCAAAAAAACTGTGATAGATTTACAGAGTGGGGATATAAAATGCAATTAATATGATATTTGATAAAGCAAATAAAGATAAAATTCCAATGAAGTGCTAATAATTGAATATTAAAAGACAATGACATTTACATTCATTTCTACTTTAGTTCTAAAGAAAGCGGCATTAGAAAGATTGTTTGAAAATACTGAAATATATTTCAGACTGCTTTGATGCCAGCTGCAACTGTAACCAAAGTTTTAAAGGTGATCCCTGAATACCGGCGAGATGCACATTGCTACAATCAGTATTAAACTCGTTGGAAATTCTGACAATTAAACCGATATACTCATTATAAACTAATCAAGAGCAAAGGGAATTAATATGTATTTATTAAGAAAATTGTTCAGAATGAAGAAATTTTTTAGAAAATACACAAATATTTATTGGAATGTGAGCAAAACGTAACATTTGTAGGTGAAATGTAAGTAAATTTTAAAGATTAAATTACCATACATGTATTTGAATCTAAAAAGATCAGTGCAGAAGGGCTAAACAAATTCCATGTTGAAAATAGTGTGAAAAGTTTGATGTTAATTTGCACAGAAAAAAAGAATTAGAAGACAAAAACTACTGAAGACAACTCTTTGGGCTCATCAATTACATAGTCAAATTAATGTTAATTTAGAAACCCCAAAATGAGTTACTGATATCTTAATAATTCTGTGAAAAATGGAATGGTTCCATTTCATTAGCTAAAGACAGGTATAGACCAAGACACGAGCCTTCACAGGCTGCAGACTCTGGGAGCTTTATTTAGATCAAGTATGAGCCCCGTGCATCAGGAAAATCAATTAGTCACGTTTTAAGGACTCATTAATTCCAATGTTTCTAAACCATCTGAAGATTCATGCCCCAGCCCTTACCAGAGTTGCAACCACTTTTTGCACAACAGCTGCACAGAGCGCCCTCAAATTGGCTTAACATGTTTTCCTGGGTTTATTGTTTGTTTTCATTGTCTGACAGAACTTTTAAATTATGACAGCACCACTCTAATGTTCCAAGGAAAAGCTGATTCCGGCTGCTCAGTTTATCAGCATATTTGAGGAAGATGACTGCAGCAGATGGAGTGGACCTGTCAGTAATTCATACCCAGCACAGAATTAATGGAAACTATAAATATTGCTTTTTTTAAAGCAGTATCGAGTTTAACTCAAACTAACATTTTCAAGACAGGAGCAACCAAGCAAGTAAACTAAGCAGACTGATCCTTTGGGATTGCTTAAGCATAGGGAAAGGAGCACTTTAAATTGTATGTTTTAATAGAAGAATTTTTAAAATTTCTCTGGAGCTCAGTGGAAGCCCGTAGGGACCAGCAGCAAGGCACACGTCCGACAGTTGTAGGCAGTTATAATGGTGGATTCAGTATTATCATGTCCTACAAGCAGTTCAGTGATACCTCTACCCCGAAAGCAGCCAGAGACTAGAACTGATTGATCTGAAAGTGAAGGCAAGTCAGACATTTGAAACTAGAAGCTATGTTTATGACCTGCTGCAGAAGGCGATGGTCCAGCAGGATGGGAGAAGGCAGCAATGATGGAGACAAGTCATTCTGTATACCCAGTTCTTGGCCAATGTAAATGGCCACCTAATGAGATTTTCAGGGTTTAGCTCTTCAATACACTCTGGGATTTTTTTAATTGCAGACTTCTGAACTGTCCAAATATTGTAAAAAGTCCAGTGCAAATAATCCCCGAGTTTGATCTAAAGCTTGTGGAAATTATTCTGTTAACTTCAGTGAAACATGAATCAGGCCTTTAGAAGAGAATTTTCCAAAGGGGTTACCATTATTAAGGCATTTAAGACAAGGTTTTTAGAGTTAAATAAATTTTTCCTGTGGTAAAAATTGCATCATTTATTAAAACGCTGAAAATGTACTCTGCAGTATCTTAAATAGGTAGATTTCCATTAATAATGTTTTTTATGTGAAAACACCAAAAATCTACTCTACTACTGGATAATTCCCAAAAGTTAGATATTTGTTATTAGTCTACCAGATTACACAATAAATAGATAATACTAGGTTATAAAAACCTCATAAAATGAAAATCATAGAGTAACCTGATTAAGCTTTCTCTTAGAAGGCTGCCATCTGCTCATGAACCAGTGTGCAATATTTTAGTACAAAGGCCTTCATAAAGCCTCTTTTCCAATATTATCTCCAGCTAATACAAACATCAATCCCTCTTTACAAGATACTTTTTTACTAGAAAACCTCTGTTCCCCTTTTAAAAACTTTTGTCCACGTTACACAGCAAGCACCAATCATTCTCTGTGAGCCAGATACCACATGGTTACAGTGATGTGAATAGAAAAGGGAGAGATTATGGAGAAATAACAACATAATTACTGAAAGACTTCCCCCATGGATTTTCCTTTTTGGAAAAACATACAGATACACTGCAGTTAAAAACACAGCTGTTCAAGTAAAATCCTGACTTGGAGCAGTGCACGCATGGCTTAACAGAGCGAGCATTTTGCCACTCATGTGTCTTCCAATTCTGATGGGGAATTATTAATCTAAATTATTTAAATACATGTCTTCTGCAAACAGTCCATGTTTTTCAGGGCTCAATCACAAAGCAAAATATTAGTGTACGTGCTACAGAGCAACATGTCCATAGCAACAAAGCACTAAGAACTGTGACTGGATGCCAGTTTCATAAAATATTATTCAGGTTCCAGGTATATTGTAACTGCAAATCAACCATCTACTAATAAAAAATTTATATTTACACAGCCACTGAATATTAAGTATAACTAGACAAATTAATCGATTGATTTTACAATCAATGCTAGTTTATAGTATCGCTTCTCTAGCTATGCCATGGCACGTGTGCTTCTGGGGAGAAACTGGGATTTCTAGTCATGAAAGCTTCCCAAAGTTACAGAAGAATAATCAAGACAGTCCTAATTTCATGACAGTGTTCAACCTCTGCCTTGCAATGAAGGAAGACTAGCTATTGACAGGTTCAGTCCAGGAGGAAACGAGAGAATCGGCAGAATTCCTGTGTTTTAAGCTTGGCTTCCCTATTCTCTAGCACTAGCTTTGGAGCCTATGATGTCTTGGTTTAGTCAGGCTGTAGATACTATTCCCCACATTCGTTCATGAGCACGTTACACAAAAGCTGTTCTGGGTAAAGCGAATGTAAGGCTGGAACAGAAGTCGATGGAAAATCGTACTTGACAAATCATCAGCGGTCCGCTACCTGACTGGAAAGTTATATCGGGTAGAAACCCACAGGGTCTGTCTTTGGCCTGG